TGTGGACTCAAACAATCATCTCAAGTTATTACTCTTAAAGCGGTTCTACAAGCAGTCGAATTGTGGGATGTACTCATTTTTTGCACACACACTTCTACTGCATTTTTGTGAAGCTTTGTGAAGTTTTTCACAGGACTGATTGTGTGAGACTAGCCTCTAATTGTTCTGAACGGAGCCACAGGGCTGTAATCTACCCATACGTATTATGGACTCATTCTAATAACATCATTCAAAGTAAATTAACAGTCTGAGCAGCAACTATCAAAACCACCTTAGATGCAAATTAAAGTATAATAAATGCAAGTCTGTCACAAACTTTAGTAAATCCCATTTGTATGATTCATTCAAATACTCTTCTCAAAAAAAAAAAATACACTGTGTAAGGAATACATATGCAAAAATGTATTTGTCCATGACTTGTTTTTTTTAACATTACGATAAAGAGAAAACCAATTATGTCCTCACACTGGATACAAAGTTGCTTTCTGTGCAGTGCTTTCTTATAATCAAAGTCATGGAAAAGAAAACGACAGAGGAAGCGTGGCTGAAGTACTTTATCAAAGAGGTTTCAGAGTAAAATGTTCTCCATTTCTCAGATTTTCAACATTTTAAGTTTCATTTTACAGAAATAAAAATGCTTTTTTAAAATCAGCACAGATTAGGATTTGTTTTATTATTATTATTTTTTAATACATTTCCACTGTGTTCTGGAAACTAGTGCCAACCAGCAACAATAACATGAGATTAAAGTCGAATGTAACGTAATTGATTTGAGCTTCGGAGGAGGATTTGTGGGGTTTCATTGACTTACAGTCAGTGTGTTCCAAAGAAGTAATCAGAGGAAGGTAAATGAACATAAGACTATGTGTGCATGTCCGCTACATGACCTGTGATTGTACACCAAACCACAACAAGAAAAACTGCTTATAACCACAGCATATACAGGCTGAGCAACTAAGGAGCTCTATAACCTTAACAAATTGTGACAACATCTAAAATGTAATCAAAAACTGACTTAGTGATTTGGAAATTATTTCAATTCTACATTTATTAGAAAATAATACAAAACCTACATGCAAATTTAACCTTTTTAGTTTAAAATTTTCTGTCTGTGAATTTACCATGGGTTTGTTATTCACTACCTTGTGTTGCTCACAGAGATTACTGTGAAAAAGAGTGTATACACCTGCGCAGCGCTAACATTTACATTTCTTTTTCACAGCAGATGGTTAATCAATTGATTTGATCATGTGATTTACAGCAGGACACAACTTAATGATGTTTTTCCACCACAGGATTACTGAGATATTGTGTGAAGAAAACTGTGGTTACAGAATATATGTTGATGATGAAAATACACTGTGTTGTTGAGGTAATGTTGGAGAAAATGTGAATGTTACAGGGGAGAAATGAATACAGTTTGAGACTGTCCCTATCGGGTGCTGCTGACAACGCCCACAGCAGTGAAGATTACTGAAAGAAACACTTGGATATATCAAGCGCACTAATAAAAGGTGACACACATCCAG